ACTCCTGCTGTATCAATGTACACAAGTTATTCGTCACCCCCCAGCTATTCTGCTGCAGCTGGACTGTGGCACTGCACAAGACTATTGTTGAAAAGTAAATGCTGCATTCACCCTAAAAAACAATCTGGTAATGCTCAGAAAAGTTCAGGTAGTACCCTTTTGAAGAAACAGTTATGTTTATGGGCACCTGCTTTAAGTAAATTCTCTCACAGGTGCTTAGGGACAATTATGTGTGGTGATAGGGGACAGCAGAAATACAAATGTCCACTGCAGGAATATGGAGAGGTAGAGTGTGCTAAGGCACATCAGATACTACTGTGTCAGAGTTCAAAGCTTCAGGTGAAATGTACATAAAAAGATCTTAGTAACTCATAAAGGAGGGCTTTGATTGCAGATTAGTAGTGGAGTTCTTGCCTGGCATGCATGAGGCCCTGGGTACACTTCCCAATGCTACCACAAAAAAAATAAATAAATAAATAAATAAATAAAAACAAAATGTTAAAAATTCATTCTTAATAAAATTAGATATGTCTCTTGAAACTTTTTACGTCAAATGAAAATATAATCACCTATATAATGAATCATTCCTCTTCCTATATCTTGTCCAAGGTGATCTGTGAAAATGGTTCAATATTGTCTTGATTCATAAAACCCCACAAAATCTTAAAAATAATGAGTTCAAATCTCTGTGTTCACTTTTAAAACAAAATGAAACTGCCAAGTCATCAAGGGTATGCATATCCAAAGGGCCACCAAGTGTCTGAGAGATGTCACTTTAAAGATACAATGTGGGTTGGCATAGTGGTTCATGCCTGTATTCCCAGGAGCAGTAGAGACTGAGACAGGAGATTCCAGAGTTCAAGGCCACCCTCAGCATCCTCCCAAGGGTTTATGCTACTTAGTGAGACCCTGTCTTAAAACAGAAAATTTTAAAAGACCAGGGGATTAACTAAGAATTAAGTACCCCTGGGTTCAGTCATCAGTAACCAAAAAAAACCCCAAAAACAAACAAAAAATGTGTGCCATTCCAATGTTGAAATGGTAGAGTTGATTGGTGTGTCTAAACAAAAGAGTAGAGCTGACATAGGGTCCATAGACCGAAAACAAGAGCTCAATTTTGGTAGACATCCTTAAATATTGAAGAGTCATGCTAAACTTGAGGATTTAAATATGAGTTTTTTTGTCCTTTAATGTATCCAATGAGTAAAGAACCTAGATATACTACCTTATTTACAGAGCTCATGGACAGATTAACCCACACATGAATTCCCCCTGCCCCATTAAGATGATCCTTACTGAAAAAGAATTGTTTTCTAAACCACAAGAAGAAAATGCAGTCACACACATGGCAACAAACACATGCACAAAAAAAGAAACACAAACAAACAACAACAACAAAAAGAAAAAGAAAGATGTCTCTAAATTGCTGAGACTGGCCTTGAACTTTAAATCCTCCTGCTGCAGTCTCCAGATTCACTTAGATTACATCTGTGCTGCAGTAGAGCTGGCTAAATATACACTTAAATAAAATAGAAATGGGATGAATTGCTATAAAAAAAAGGAAAGTAGATAAAGATAACAACTTAGGAGAAAATACTCCTATTTACATAAGAAAAGGTTAGCATTCTGGGGGAAAAAGAAAACTATGGATAATGTGAGATTAACTCTATTGATTTGTCCTTTAGATAGGAAAATCATAGGAAATTTGGATACACTTTAATGCAGAAAATCTAGGTATAGATTAGAAAATTTACAATTCTAGGGACTGGGTCTCAGAGGTAAAGCACTCACTAGCATGTGTGAGGCACTAGGTTTGATCCTCACCACTACATAAAAATAAAGAAATAAAGAAAATGTGTTCATCTATAATTCAAAAAACAAAAAGAAAAATTAAAATTCAAAATAGCCATAGGACTCTCCTTCTCTGAACACAACCTGATCTCCTTACTCATTTCCCTATTTATCCATGAATGCTTTGAAACTTAGCTTCTCCATCCATTTCCAGGATGAATTCGCTTATGGTGTTAAGACTATGATCCAGCACCACTGAGTCTGGTCTCTAAAACCAGGCAATTCCTGCACATATGAGGAGAGTTAGCTGGGTTCAATAACCCATTAAGGTAATTGCAGCAAATGAAAAGACTGAGAGAAGAAAAACACATGTTTGAGGCCATACTAGGCAACATGGCCAGATCTTGTCTCAAAACAGAAAATAAAAAGGGCTAAGAAGAAGCTCAGTGGTTTAAAGCCTAAGATTCAACCACCAGCATGACTAAAAAAACAAAATGGGATGCAGAATTGGACACAGTCATTAATTTATGTGGTTGGTTTGTTTTTGTTTTGGATACCAGGATGTGAACTCAGGGGCACTTGAGAATGGTCCACATTAACAGCCATATATATATATATTTTTTGGTATTTTATTGGAGACAGAGTCTCACTGAGTTGCTTAGCACTTAACCCTTACAGAGGCTGACTTTGATCTCAAGATCCTCCTCCCTCAGTGTCCCAAGACACTGGGATTACAGGGGTGCATCACTATGCCCAGCTAATTTGTCTGTGTTTATCTGAAATAGGGAGAGAATTTTTATAATGATTTGAAACTGCCAAGGACAGGAGCCTGCCTTGCCACCCACACCCACCCACCTTTTCACTATCTAATTCAATCAAAACCAAGGAATTTCAACAATGCCTTCAGGATTAGTCCACTTGCACCTTAATCTTATCAAGTTGTTCAATCAATTTGTGATGCAAATGAATGTTCCTGGAAAGTGATTGGATGTCTTCTGAGGTCAGCTAGAAGACAGACCACTATAAAAAGGTTCTGTCTATACCAGACTGAATCATTTGCTCCTTTTCCTAGTCCAGGAATGCACCTTGGCCTGGTAGGGAAGCTGAAACTATGGCAGTCCCTCTGTCAACCTCAGGATTCCTGACTCCCAGGAGGGCATGTCCAGAGACCAACATGCCACCAGGCCTGAACCCAGAACAGGCATGGGCCTGGGCAATGGATAATTTTCCTGCTCTGAGCTGCCACTCCTGCCAGTGCCTCCAGAGCTGTGGAGATGTGAATGTTTTTGTAAGCTGACTATCCAACTGGGCCTACACAGAACAGGGAGCTGTCTTTGGAGATCTGAGAGTAGTGTACTAATGGAATATGTTGTTACACAGGAACAGAGAGTTGAGAGGGGCCAAGTACGAGGTCTAGAATCCATGAGGGCTAAATCCACTCAGGAGCTCTAATCAACTCAAAAAGAGGCAAGCCCTACCATCAGTACAGCCAAATGGACCCTGAACCTCCCAGGAGGTGCCAGTGCCTGGGCTATTGGACAGACACACCCTCAGGCTACTTCATGGTGCCCAGCTTATCCCTGGAAGCTGCTGAAAACTGAGGCTTACATCCCAGAGGAACACAGAATAGAAAGGAACCCCAGCCTGGAGGATGCCTTGCAGTACAATACCCATCAGCCAATGCCCAGGAAGGAAGCTGAAGGACTCCATTGGGGACCCTCATACTGTCCTTGTGGACTCATGCACTGGAACTGTGCCCTGCATGCCTAGGAGCCTTGGCTGTGCTGGTCATTCTTGTTTTGTTCTTTTTCTCCTGAATGAATTAAAGGTTCTTCAATAAGAAAAAAAATCTGTGTGTAATTAATTTGATAAGGAATTCTTCTTTTAAATGGACTGAGAATTCTCATAGCTTCTAATCTGATTGAATTTTTATGATAATTAAACCCATTTTTTTATTCACTGGTTGTCTATTGATTTTGAGGAAGAGTCAGGATGGGGGGGGTGTATAGGTGGGTCTGGGGCAAGAAGGAGACAATTACCCAGGTCACAGCTGTGGGCTGAACCCCAAGGGCATCTCTGAAGATATGAGGGTAGGGTGCTAACAGAATGTGTACTTGGGTGGCCACTTGCTGGTGTTTCTTCAAAACTGAGTGTGACCTTCTTGAACTCTGGAGAGAACCAGCATCAATAAGTTTCCTTTAAATGGTCCCCAGTTACATTACCTAGGAAAGAATACCAAATGAAATCTCTAGTCTTGGGTCTTCTGAGTTGACAACCAAGGAATCCAAGACACCAGCTGTAGGTCAGACATGTTCAGGCAGTTACAGAATCCTGTCCTGGTGGGCTAGGTCCATTGGTGGGTATAAGATGGCCTTAGGCCTTAGCCTAAACAACTTCATTTAAAAACTCCAGTTTGAAACCTGCAGTCTCACCAGGCATGCCTACCTACAGAGCCCTCTAGTATGGCCCTCAAACACAACCTGTCCCTTCTCCCTACCTTGACAAGCTCAGAGTTTAATCTCTCCCATGTTGTCCTCACCCTGATGAGAGCAGGAAGCAAAAAAATCAGGATGGGGAAAACCAGACCAGATGCTTTAACCCCAGAGCAAATGATGTCACTGAGAAATCTGGTGGCAACTGATAGGGATTGAAAGGGTGATCAGAAGCCCCAAAATTTAGTATAAATGATGGAGCAAATGAACAGACATTCAGCCAGCTGACACTGATGCACACAAGCCTGAGAGCCTGATGAGGACCTAGAATGACATCCCAACTCTTCTCATCTGCCTGATCCTCTGCCTTGTTCTCATCTCTCTCAAATTCTACAGCAGCCTCTTTACTCTAGTGAGAAAAGGACTTTTCCCTAGACTGCCTCCTCAGCCAGCCATCAGCTCCACCCCAGGAGAAGCCTGCCTTCAATCCTGACCTGATCACCATGGTCAAAGTAAGTGTGCATCTGCGGGACTTAGAGGCCAAGGCTTGAGACTTTTGATCTGACACTTGAGCTTAGCATGCAGAGGGAATTTCTATCATGAGAATGTCAGGATTAAGTGTGATTTTAGTGCTTATAATTAATCTAGAGTTGTTTGCTATGAGTTGATTATGTTTATTGAAGTTCTAACATTATGGATGATCAGTTCCTTGATTAAGAACCTATAGAGTAAAATTATATTGAATGATTTGAGTGAATAAAGCATTGAAATGGCAGAAGCACATGGACATTATTTATTTCTCCCCCTGGACTGCATAAATTGCACCTTTTGCCCATTATGACAGTAGAGTTGCATGGCAAGCATCAGTTTGCTCAGGTTGCTTTAGCCAGCTATCATCAGCAGGGTGCCATGATGTGTACCAATAGTCCAAGCTATACAGGAGGCTCAGACAGGAGCACTGCTTGAAGCCACCCTGAGCAACAGAGAAATATCCTGTCTTAAATAATAAAAAGATAAATTACTATACACTGGGCTGAGCTTCAAGGGATGTAAATGCCTTCACTAGCATGGACATGGACATTTAAACTTTCCTGTTTTCTGAAATCCAGTAGGTTTTAGATTGAAGGGATTTGGATTTAGAGGGGCTTAGGTGCTAGGTCTTCCTGAACAGTTGGATCAGACCTGTTTGTCTTTTTAATCATCAGCTTAATTGAGTGTTAATTGTCCATGACAGGGAATGGGAATAGAGGGTCAAAGAGGAGTTGGAGTTTTTTTGTGGTTAGAGAGAACATTCCATGTGATCACCCTTACTTCTAAAGACTTAAAGTCTGAATCAGCTTTTCTTTCCTCCCTCTCCTTGTTGATTTTTTTGAACCTTGGGGACAATGTGAGGATTAGGCTCCACAATAAATAAAGGCAGGAGGCTAGGTTTAGTGGCCCAGTCCTGTAGTCCCAAAGACTTAGAGTTTGAGGGAGGAGGGAAACAAGTTCAAGGACAGCCACAGTAAATAAGGAAGTCCCTGTCTCAAAAAAAAAAAAAATTAGAGATGCAGCTGAGGGGTCCAGGCCTTGTTGACCATATGTGAAGCCCTTGAATCAATCACCAGCACCACCAAGAGAAAGAAAAAAAAAACACAATGAGACATGACCACATATGCCACTTTCCAAAATGTCCAGACATTGAGAAATTTTATATTTTACAAAAGTAGTTGTACAAAAGGAGATCTTTATATTTTTGAGAAAGTTTTAATTGTTTTACACACACACACAAACACACACACACACACACACACACACACACACACAGCCTGGCCAAATAATTAGCATTGTCATAAATGTAGTTTCTTTTGGTTAAATTTGCATAAAACACAATTAGAACTCTCTAAAAGTCTTTATACAACTTATGCCTTCAGTATTGAAAATCATGAAAAGAAACACATAGCATAGCACATGATAAAAAATAATGCTGGCAAAACAAAATAATAGAAAAGAAAAGAAAAACTGACATTAAATTGTGGTTTTTTTCTTGGTACTTGGATATGAACCTAAGGCACCTTAACACTGAGTTACATCCTCTGCTGTTTTTATCTTTTAAGAGACTCTCACTAAGTTGCTTGTGGCCTCATTAAATTACTGAGGCTATACTGGTACTTGTGATTCTCTTGTCTCAACCTCCTGAGTAGCTGAAATTACAGACATTTTAGAGATTGATAATGGTCAAATTGCATAGAGGTAGTACACAAAGCTGGCTGACATTCACAATCACTAACTCTTATTTCAAAATCTTACGTTTAAGGGAATTATGCTTTTTTTAAAAAATTAAAATTTATTTTTTAGTTGTAGTTGGACACACCCACCCACTAGACAAAGTTTCTAAGGCTTTATAATATTTTAGGGGCATACAAAATTGTTTTCATTTCTTGTAAAACTAAAAGAAAACCATTAACTCTCATACCTAATGTAACATCTGATATATAATATTAACATCTTGTCTTAAAATCATAGTGAAAGGACTTTTAATTTGATTTTAATTTTTATTTTTTAAAGGGAGAGAGGAGAGAGAGATATTTATTTTTTAATATTTATTTTTCAGTTTTCAGTGGACACAACATCTTTATTTTATTTTATGTGGTGCTGAGGATAGAAACCAGCACCTAGCACATGCCAGGAATGCGTGTTACCACTTGAGCCACATCCCCAGCCCCAATACCTTTATTTTTATTTATTTATTTTTATGTGCTGATGAGGATCTATCCCAGAGCCTCAAATATGCTAGTTGAATGCTCTATCACTGAGTCACAACCCCAAGCCTTTTTTTTTTTTTTTTAATTTTAGGGCAAGAATCTCCTTGGAGACTATGTTTACATTTATTTTCTCTATGGTATTATTTTTCTGAAATACAATCAAGAGTCTCATGATCTTGAATTGAATATGATACATGAAGCCCACTGCTCTGAAGGGAGCCTTCGAAGCCATGGGAGAGATGAAATTAGAGGTCCCTGTTCTGGAAGAGATGGAAAGAGAGATCGCTGCCTGGGATGAGGTAGAAGCAGACATTGCTGCCGCATGTGAGTTGGAAATATGGATTGATGCCTGGAATGAAATGAAAACAGAGATAGAGGCCATGGATGAGATCAAAAGAATTCGCCATATGCTGGGCCCAGAGGACTTGAGTGGGACTGTTTTGATCCTCACAAAGCAGCAGGCGGAGGAGCTGAAGAAGCACTACTGGATGGACCCCTTTCCATTCCACAGTACCCTGGTGGCCCTGGCCTCCCGCCTCGGCCTGGAGGAGCAACAAGTACAGGTGGAACTCAGGCTTCACACCCCTACCTTGCCCTGGCAGGGAAAGGCCTGCCCTGCTGGCTGGGCCACGTCCGACGCTCCCTCTGCAGAACCCTGGGGCACACAGGGGCCCAAGCTACCCTGAGTCCTCCTGGGCTCCGGCTGGACCCCAAGCTTAGCTTCTGCCTTTTGTGCTGCACAACTTTGATCAGCCCAGATGGTTTCCTGGTGCCCTTCTAGGACCCAGACCCCAGCACCCTCTAAACCTGAGGAACCCCTGGCAGAGTCCCCCCATCCCTGGGCTCTGGGTCCTCTTCCTCTGGGTTTCTCCCCCTTGCCTTTGACCTCCAGAGCCCAAGGGACTTCTCTGTTTTGGTTCTCTTTTTGCAGAGCTGGGGACAGAACCCAGGGCCTTGGCTCCCAGTGTCAAACCAGCTCCCCACCACCAAGCTAGCACCCCGCCCCTTATTGGATGACCCAGGGTGGCCTACAGTGCACCATCCTGTTTCAGCCCTCCAGACGTCTGGATTATAGGCACATGCCCTGGGCCCAGTGCCCCCACCCACATGCACATTCCCACCCGGGGCCCAGGCAGGTGTGAGAAATCCCTCTACATCTTTCCATGTCTCCTTGTCTCCCCAGGATTGGTTTCTGGTTAAGCAGTGGTTTAGAAGCCAGCCCCCCGAGTTCTCAAACAACTGCTTTGTACACTCAACCTTGGACAGCAATCTCCCCACCTGGTTTTGCTTGTTCTGTGCATGTCCATCTGCCAAAGGTGACCAGCAGAGTGTCCCAGAAGAAGCCCTTCCCAAGCGCTTCTGGACCCTGGTGGTACATGGCAATTCAAGAAGCCACCTTGAAGAGCTTTGCACATGACCTTCCAGATGTCCTTGAAGAGGAAGACAAATGAGATCCAAGAGATTTCTGAGTGGGTGGGGGTTCTGCACCTGCCCCATCCCACAGGTCCTCCCTCTGGCCACTCTCCATCTCTTGTTACTCCTGCCTGTTTCAGTCACCGGGAGTGTGTCTGGGTCTCTAGGAGTAGAATGGGTGTTTCTGGGTGCACCTCCTTCCCTTCATGCTTCCCCGCAGCACCCTACAGGAGGTGAGGCTGTGACCACCTGCTGGCTTGTGTCCTAACCACGTTGTCCCTCATGAAGAAAGTCCCATAATAAAGGTTTTTCCCATTAAAAAAAAGAAAGAAAGAAAATGATATATGAAGACATATGATACATGAAGAAATCTCTATGTTTGAGAGAAAGAAATCAGTGTGGATTTTACTGTCACAATTTTTGTCAGAAAGATCCAAGGAGGAGTAGTTTTTATCCTTGGGAGTCTAAGAACACACACAGAAGCATAAATTCCTTCACAAAGTTTCATCTTACCCATACAGGACCAAGTGAATTCTGCTTTGAAGTAGGTTTATAATTTGGCCTCCCTAGAGATAGAGGCCCAGCTGCTGCTAACACAAATCCCTAAGATACCAGGCAGGACTCATCCACCCACTAGGCAAAGTGCCTAAGGCCTTATAATACTTTAGGGGCCTACAAAATTGTTTTCATTTCTTGTAAAACTAAAAGAAAACAATTAACTCACATACCCAATATATCATCTGATATATAATATTAACATCTTGTCTTAAAATCATAGTGAACGGATTTTTAATTTAATGTATTGATAACCTTTTCAGTGAAGGAATGAATCCCTGAAGTTTCAAGTATGCCTGAGGCCAAGATTCAGGGTAGGTCCTTGCAAGGGGCAGAGGGCTACAGGTTCTGTTTCAATTCCTCAGCCTGAGGAAGGCTTAGCTTTTGACAAGTAGCACAGAGAGAGCCCAAGTGCTTTAGTCTGAATTAGGGAATGTAACAGGAAGAACAGAAGATATGTTCTGACTGGAACTCCACTTAATTGTACTATGACACTTTTACTTAACTAGTCTTTAACTAACCTTATCTAATCTTTGTAAGGTTTAAAAGTGTGCCTTTTAATAATCTTCAGTATCTTTTGCATCTATTTCATAATTTAATAAGCTTCTTAATTGAATTACTTTTGATATCATTTTCATCCATTTTGCAGACTAAAATCTCAATATTTTTGTAGTTTTTGTGATTCTACAAATGTTTTGCTAAATAAGCTATTACTTAAATTTCATTTCACTAGAATAATTTCCAGGAAGACACAGAAAGAAATGAAAGTGAAAGATTAAAGGTCCTACACAAAATCTGTAAAATTGTGTAACATCATTATTTTTGTTTAAGGATTTATAATCTGCATGATTCCATGTCAATGGGAACCCATGGTTTCATTACTATAAACATGTACATAGATGTAGAAATCCCTAATACTCTCTACCTCTTGGATTCATAAGGACATTTAATATGTCCTAGAAACTCTATACAATCAATTCCATTTTGGTTTCTAAAGGTTGCCTTGTTTCAAACTAAGTGGATCTTTTTTTATCTTGTACAATGAAAGAACACTATTTTTGTTGTTGTTGCTGTTCATAGAGTTTCTTATTTTCTGAGAATGAATCTATGGAATAAATTTTTAAAAGTAGAATTACTGTGTCAAACAGTATATGTAAAATTGATAGTATACATGGCTATGTTGCAGATTCAAGTATCCTACCAAACTCATTCAAACAACCAGTATTGAGAAATGTAATTTTGCCAACTTTTTAATGACATGGGTTATAATGACAATTCCTTCTTCTTTTTTATAACATAGGAATCAAATCCAGGGACTCATTCATGCTAGGCAAGTGCTCCACCACTGACCTACAAATTCTTAACACTTTCTAATATGTCATTTAAATGTGTGTTTCTTTTACTTTTCTTGTGTCTAACATTACAGAAGAAACTAATAGTATTATATATTTGTCTGAGGGAATTTGAAAAGAGTTCTGTAATTTTCAGCATTTTTCTAATTAATTTTGGGTGAATGTCATTGATTCTATTTAAGTATCAATAATTAGTATGTTTAAAAGCATTAAGTGTCCAGTCTTATGTACTTTGTTTCTTCTTTGCCTCATTCACATCCATTTTTTTCTTCACTATTACTTATCCCAATCTGTTGTCTTGCTGAATCTTCAATTATGATTTCAAATCTTTGACCTACTAACACCTCTTTGTGGCTCCACTTAGCACCATAACAGTCAAGAACTTTGGATTCCCAGTGTAATCTGAACTCTCTTTCCAGATTCCAGGTTCACACTGCCCCCAAGAATCATTACTTTGCTGCTGTAGGAGAAACACTCATAGTTTTAAGGCAAGAATATATTAGCAGTCAGAATTGGGTGAAACCTTGGTAGGGGGAGAAGATCACTGTTTAGAGCTCTAGAGTACCAGAAGGAAATGTAGCAGAGGAAAAGATTCAGGAAGAAAAAACTACCTTGAGTCCAGGAAGAAGTCAGTGTCTGGAACTGCATTGGCAATAGAAGTCACAGTAGTAATCCTGGAGGTTGGGATCTATCAAAGTTGTGTGCAGTTTCTGAAAAAAAAAAGAAAGAAAGAAAGAAATAGAAAGATAGAAGAAAAGAAGAAAAGAGGAAGGAAGGAAGGGAGAGAGGGAGGGAGAGAGGGAGCACTTTGAGATGAAATAAGAACCACAAACTATGACTATATGAAAAGAGCTCAGGGTGAAAATTCAACCCAGGAGATGAATACCAAGTGCAAAGACAAACATAAATGTCAATCCAAGGGATTAGACTTTTATATCTCAACTTAAAAACCTATGAAATACCATCTCATGTGTTGATTTAAAACCAAGATACTCTATTCTTTTATACACTACAGGGTGTAATGTTTCTGATGCAAATTGAAGTCATCACTTGCATTTAGTCTTATCACATAGAAGCCATAATTATACAACTTATTGAATCCACTCTCTTTCCAGAGTTAGATACTAAAGACCTTAGCACATTTAGCATAGCAGAATCGTTTGCCATATATTCAATTGAATTACTTTACATGATTGTTCTTTTTCAGTTATTTCAAAGGAGCAAAAGTTTAGATCCATTTTGATATTTTGTAAAATATCACTGAGAAACAGTACTCCAGCTCCCTGAATATTAAATTAATTGTAAAGATAAATCTTGCAATATGTGTCAGGGTAGTACAGGCTTGTAATCTCAGTGACCTAGGAGGCTGAGGCAAAAGGATTACAGAATCAGTACAAGCTTCAGCAACTGCACTGCAACATGTGTCAAAATAAGAACAAAAAACTATTGGGGAAGCATATTGTTATCTAAAAGTATTGAGGATGTATCTGATAAGGTTGCAAAACCAGAGTATGATTTCAAGTTGAAACTTTTAAAAACCCAAGGAAAAGAAGGTACCCGGAAGGCCAGCCTTAGCAGAGTTCCTTGGAAGGCCCTTGACAGCAAAATATTCCAGGTGAAGTCTTCTGAAAGATCTATGCCAATTGGTGAATACCTAGGCCCAGAGTTTGGAGGTCTCGCTGCTGAGGTCTGTAGAGAGGCCTCACAGTGAGTGCAGTTAAGTATATAGTGGCTGCTGTAACCCAGATGGGGAGGCACCCTTGAAATAGTCTTGGGGGAAACAGATGACAGGGTGGCACATAAGATCATTTCTCATGTGGGTTCTCAAGGCTGCTCTGTATCTGCTTGGAGACTTAGTGCTTGTAGAACACCCAATACACAAGTGCCCTGTCTGCCCAACCTGTACTCAGAAGATGCCACCAACCCACCATGCCAATAAGCAATGCAAAAGCAATGAGGATGGGCCCTCTTAGATCTGAACATGGTCTCTCACCACCCAGGGTTCTGAGCCTCCTCTTTCCCCAATCCCCAGCAGGAGTACACTACACCCAAGAATTTCACATTTTAGCACAATTTTATTGAGAAAAGAAAAAAGAAACATGCACAATAGCTGTGACGCCTCCATGGCAAGCATTACTGTTACAGGATCTGTTCCAAAATGGTCCTTCAAACACAGTAAATCTCAATGCTGCTGAGCCCCAATGGTTGCAGCTCAAACAGCCTCAAGAAGTCCTGTGCAGAAGGGCCTGGATCCACTGCCAGCAGCTTTGGCTAGTCTCATGGTGGCTTGCAGGGGCAGAAGGAAGAGGACTCTTACAAGGATCACCACCACCAGAGGTCTTGGGCTCCAGACTTTCATCACAGGTGCACCTGGAACAAGACAAGGGAGCCCCAGCAGGTGGTCAATGGTGGGACATCTGGGGATTAGTCTGGGTTGAGAATGCCCTGTCCAACACAAGAGGCTCTGTTTCCTGGTGCAAGGTGTTGTGTCCTCTGAGAAAGTCACCTTTTCCTAACCCATGTCAGGAACGACATCCTCGGAATGTGGAATGCAGGTTGCAGTGGAAGTCTTGGCAGTCATAGGAGATATCTGTCAGGTGGAGGTAGAAGGGCAGCGGCAAGGGCCCAGGATATATTGAAATCAGGGTTGGTGGCCTCTGTAGCCCTGGTGCCTGGTCTGCAGAATTCCAAGCCTGTGGCACACAGCAGGGAAAACATTGCTCTATGGCTTTCTGGGCCTCAGACCAGGCACCACCAAGTGTATGGAACTTAGCAGGCAGCAGTTTGGGTGTGCTTAAACCCTTCTGGCCTCCAGGGAGTTTCTAACCACAGACTGGGAACCTGGGTGGTGTTGGCTTTAATTCTGAAAGGAAATCCCATCACAAAGCTTAGTTAATGAGATTAATAACAACAACAAAAATCTAGCACCTGTCAGTTTTTTGTAAGTGGGAGGCAGTCTTGCTCCATACAAGTCACTGAAAAATAGACAATTTTCTTCTGGCTTCAGCAAGGTTTTAAGCACAATACCTAGATTCACACAATATGCTTTGGTTTTAACCTTTTTCCTTCCTGAACTCTGCCTGCACGGTACAATACTTGTGAGTAGGAATACTTCCAGACAGTAATTTAAAAATGGGAAATGAGTTTTGGGTTTCAGATCTGGTGCTGTAATCTGATTGATCTATCACCTCATACCCCACTATGTCCAACTCCTGTCTTGAAAAATGAGTCACCAATATAAGAGGAGGACGTGGGGCTCTTTGGAGTAGGTTTGGTTATAATCCCTCATGAAAGGTATTCATGGTCCATAATGTTTTAAAAAAACATTGTAAAGATAGCAATCAGTGTCTTCTAAATACATAATGAAATGAAGCTAGAAATCAATAA